TTAATAACTAAGGCAACGCACCTTTTTTCATACTTCTTTTTTTTCCTGCAGACTGAGTTGTCTGGTAAAATATTCTTGCCATCAAATGGCTTAAAACAACCAATGAAATCAAGGAGATCTCACATACTAAGGGTGTTTATGGATACACAGGCAACTATCACCACAAAAAAAATCATCAATTCCCATTCTAGAAGTAAAAAATATGTGACTGGGGAGAAGAGCAAGACTGGTTTTGAACTTTTCTTCATGAGAGGCAGCACAAGCTCAGTCCTTAGCCATGAGAGTCTGTGTGAGAGAGGCTCTGACAGCCCCTCCAGTGGAAACTGCACCAGGGGAGGGCTGAAACCACATGAAACACCAGGAAAAGAAGTCGTGGAGGAAACCAGTGCACACAAACGTGTCTTTTTTTTTTTTTTTTTTTCCATTGCACGGTTCACACCGTGTGGCACTGGGTGCCCTGTACAGATAATTTCCTCATTCTGAGCTGCACATGTGTGCAGGCACAGCAGAGTGAGAGCAACAAACCCATGGAAGGTTTGTTCTGAGCAGGTTTTGCCCCCAAGTGATGGTGTTTGTGCTGCCTCTGGCCCCTTCATGGGTGCACTGTGTGACTGAATCATCCTGGCTCCTCCTGCACAGACAGGAGGGAATTTCTGGAAGCAGAAAGTGCAAGGGGATATTGGGTTATTGGTAAGCCTTTCTCTGAGACCCAGAATCTCAGAGTATCTCAGGCTGGAAGGGACCCACAAGGATTATCCCTCCCTACCCCTGAGCTACCATTACTTTTTTTTTTTCCCCTCGGGGTGGAGAAGAGGGGCAAATAAAGATTTTGTTTTGACCTGCTCTCTCCATCCTCCAGTAACGATTTAGGACTCATTCAATCACCTGAGCAACCCCTGCTCATCTGTATGGCACGAGAATGAAAGTCTGCAGAACCAGCCCCGTAGTTAGACACTCCACAGGAAGATTAAACATTCTACAGAAGGACGAAGGATTCCTCAGAAAAGGCTTCAAAGCTGCCTCGGTCACGTATCTGTTGAAAAAGACTAAACAAAAGAGTCTCTCTCCCATGATATCTTGCCCAAAAAATCTTCCCAGCTACACAGCAATAAGTATAGATAACTGGAATTAAAATAAGGGAGTAGCATTTACTGAGTTAATTTCCTGAATAGCCCTTTGTTAGGGGCTGTGTGAGACCTGCCAGTTAGATTAATCAATGGTTTTTGAGGATCTACAGAATGGGCAGAAATGCAAAGTAATTGTACATATTACTGTACCAGTAAAACTGAGATCCTGTAAGGTGACATTGTTTAAGTCAGTCTTGCACAGGCACACGAGCAATGTTTCACTGCAGATATCCTTAACATTAATCCATAACGTAACTAGCTGCAGAAAGAGAGAGGGGGAAAAAAAAAAGCCAAACAACCCACCCAGTTTGGAGCTATCCTATATCTCAGACAGGGTGATATAACATAACATATGTTTTAAAATGATAAAGACTTCCAAGAATAAGACACAGTTTCCAGAATAATATTCATACACGCCCAAACAAAAGCAAAATCCTGTAATAATTGAATAATTGCAGCTTTCTGTATCCCAGAAAAAGTTAAAGGAAAAAACAAATCCAGCCCAAACCAGCCCTTTTCAGTGGCTTAGCTGGTCAACACTCTTATACACAAAGCCCAGTGCTCTTCCCTAAAACCGAAGAATTAATCAGCATTATGTAAGAGATTTTTATAACACTCTAAAAATACATTGTGAATTCCTTTCCAGTGTCGGACTGAGAAGCTTTAAAGTACTGCCACCCCTCACTCCCCCTTTTGCAACAAAGGCTGGATCTTCATTTCTGATATTGGAAACTCGAGTTTTGTCTCGGTGCTTGCGCCTCAAATCTCATTAATTACAGCGTCGGCCCCGTGAGATGCGTCTGCTCCTGCTGGGAGCTGTGTTTGTGCTGGGAATGACTCTGGAGCAAGGGCAGGGATGCTCGGGGAGCATCACCACTCCCAGCGAGAATTCCTGGCACACCGCACTTGGGAGCACCTCTTGGGTGTTTTTTTCCGGGGTTAATCTCCCTGCTGGCCAAGCGGAGGTTTTGTCCCCAGTTTTGTGGAGGGGTTTTGGTGTGTGTGACACCCCGGGACAGCGTCCATCCCAAGGCAGGGGTGGCATCACCCTGCCAGCGCCGCTGGCTCCTCTCCCTGCTCGGCTTTCCACACGACGAATTAAGGGCTCGCACCATTCCTGCCTTTCCCACTGAAGGATCTCTACGCAAAAAAATTACAAAGTCATCACCTGCATGCTAATGGTAGCTTAGGAGGCAGAACTGGGGGGGAGAATGAGTTTTAGCATTTCACATTTTTACATTTACCGGGGCCGTCCTGCTCGTGTCCCAGAGCCATCCCCTTCCTCCCCAAATTCATCCCAAACCACAATTTGATCTTCGAACACACAACCCACTGGCGGTCCTTGAGGCCAAAATAAACCACAGGGATGCAAATAAATCACACGGGAAACGGGAACAAAGCATTTTCAGCTGAAAAAGTCCTGTCCTGGGATGCATATCCAAAGGGCATTGCAGCTATCTCCCCATCACATTTTTAGGGAAACACCTCAACATTGTCCTTTCCAAGAGGAAAAATTCTCCCCTTACAGGGCTGGCGCAACAGCCGCCTTCTCGAAATATCCCCCACCCTAAAACCACAAACAAATCAGCCCAAACCATTGAGGCAAACAAAAGGCGAGTTTTGGGAGGGCTGTGTCTCCCGGGGAGGGTTTCGCCACCGTTATCGGTGTGGTGTGAGAGCCGTGCTGATAGCAGGGCAGCCTCGGAGGCGAGTTGCTCGTCGTGTCGGATGGGTGATCCCGGCCCTGCCCCGAGGGCGAGCCAGCATTCCCATGGAGGCTCCGCTCGCCCAGATTCCAAAGTTTTCCAGCTACCTCTGACCAAGGATGTCCACGCTCGTTTTTTCTCCTTTTCTCAGCAACCTTCTTCTTTCCAGCCTCACCCTGGCAGAGCCCTCCTTTGTTCCCTGCCCTGGTTCTCCCTGTCTGTCTGTCTGTCTGTCTGCGCCACGTCCCGCTGCCCGTGCTCGCCCCGGGGGCCACCAGCCCCGTTTGGTGGCCACCTCAGCTCCGAGGTGAGGTGTGAGGATTGCTCTGCCCCAACTCGGGCGGAACGCCTCCCTTTGGTTCGCTCTGCAGCAACTTTCCAGGCTATCCCCCCAATCTTTTACCGCCCAAATTCACCCCGCATTGTGCTTTTCCTTTGCCTCCTCGTTTTCGCGTCCTTCATCTCCTCTGCCGGCTTCTCCTTCCCTTCCACTCGCTCCTTCCTCCCTCTTTTTCTCCTTTCCCACTTTCTCCTCACGCCATAACCCGCTTCCTCTCTTTTCCTGGGTGTAACTCGGGAGCAGGAGCCCCAGTCCCGACCAGGGTGAATGATGTCAGCCTAATTTACTTCCTTCCCTAGATCCACTCCAACCACACTCTCACGCTGTTAATAAATTTTTTTTAAAAAAAAGAAAGAAAGGAAAAAAAAAATCATATAATGGGGGTGAAAGCCCAAGACAGCCAACTTTGGCACGAAATGTCTTTTGTTGCCGCGTGCTTTAATCTGATGAATTATTGCGGTGGGTTCCAAGAGCACGCACATCCCACGCCGGGCAGGGAACTGCCACAAGCACCTCGGATCCTCCAGCCTCTCTCGCTCCTTCCTGTTGTCTCTGCCTACTCCCTCGCTAATTTGTTCCAGCCGCTCATTAATACTCTCCTAATCCCCCCCTCTCCCCAGCTTCACCTCACCAACCATTCCCTTCGCTCCGGCAGCTCAGGATCCAGAGGATGTTTTTTTCCCCCCCTTGCAGCTCCAACAATGATAAACAGATGCTGGTGGTCTACGTCTGGCACAACTTCCCTGCTCGGATTTTGGTCGTTTTGGTTTTTTTGATTTTTTTTTTCATGGCCCTGCTTGTTCCTGACATTTGCCTGCCAACACGGCGGGCAGACAGATGTTGGGTGCGTTTGACCAAAAGAAAAAGAGGGCTTGGCATCGAACACTTAAAACACCCAAATACCGTAAGCCGCCTTCCCACGGGTCACACATGGGAGTGGGTTTACAAGGTTAGGCGTAGCTTAAACATGAGCAGAAATCAGTATCTGCAAAATTTGGGACTGGTGGTTGAGGACGAAGAGCGGAAAAATTCCAGAGCTTCGGGTACTTAAGAAAAAAGAGAAATCAAGTAACAAATGGCCCCAGTGGCTGCTGCTCTCTCTCTGCGGAGCACGCAGTTATTGCCATGTAACTTAAAAAAAATAAAAAAAAATTAAAACAAATCAAAGCATTTCCTTTAATTTTTCTTCAGACTGAGGGTGAGGGTTTTTTTCTTTTATTATTATTTTTTTTTAATTTTAAATTTTTAATTTTTTAAGCTACTCTAAGACACGCTGCTTCGGTTCAGGAAATGTTCCCTCCCCACCTCCATCCAGCCCGGTCCGGGCTCTCGCCGTCCTCCGTCGCTGCCTTCCCCTAGGGGGTGTGCAGAGACCCTCGGGGATGCATTTGGGGGTGCGGAGAGGTTCGGTACCGCTCCGGCTGCGGGGTGACACGCAGAGCACCCCGCAAGCCGGCAGCGCTCGGGCCGGGCCGGCGCCACCCGCCAAGTCCGGTCCGGAGTTTGCGTCTCTCCGGCGCGCTCCCCGCTCGGCGGCGCGGCGGCGGGGGGCGCGGCGGGCGCCGGGAACAGCCGGTTGTTTAAAATCCTTCTCGAACCGTTTCTAATTCCCCCTCGCGCGGGGAGGGCGGGCAGGGCGGGAGCGGCGCGCGCGGGGGGGAGGGCGGGAAAGAAAAAAAAAAAAAAAAAAAAAAAAAAAAAAAAAAAAAAAAAAAAAAAAAAAAAAAAAAGAAGAAGAAGAAAAAAAATAAAAAAAAAAGGGGGAGTGGCCGCGCCCGGGCCGGATGCGCGCCCCGTCCATCACCGCGCTGAGGGGAGGGCCCGGCCAATGGCGGGCGCGTGTGGCGGCCGTCACCGTGGCGACGGGGCCGGTCCCGGGGAGGCGGTGATGGGTTGACAGGTGCGTGACAGTCGGGAGCTTCTCCGCAGGCATGTACGGCAAAGGCAAGAGCAACAGCAGCGTCCCGTCCGACAGCCAGGCCCGCGAGAAGTGAGTGGCCGCCTAACACCCCCTCACCCCCCCCATTCCCCTCACAAACCCCGCGCGCGCGGCCCCCCTCACAAACTTTGCCAAGGGAAAGGACGGGGGGACAGCGGCCGCCATCCAGGGGGTCCCCCAGCCGGGACGCGGTGTCCGAACGTGCTGTGGGTGCTGGTGGTGTCCCTCCCGGCCGTGCCCGGCTCCGCAAGGTGTCGGGACCCCTCCGGTAACAAAGAGCCACGGGCAAAGGCGGGGGGCTCCGGGGCCGCGTCCCGGAGTCGCCGCCTCGCAACTTTTTTACCGCGGTTCCCCCCCTCATTGTTCGCTCTCGGGGGGCTCCCCGCCGCACAAAGGGGAGCGGGGCCGGTCGGGTTCCCGCTGCCTTCTCAAACTCATGCTGCTTCTTATGAATTTTATTTTTTTTTTTTATTATTATTATTTCTAATTGCGCATAAGGCGCCCGGGCGAGCCGCGCTCCGGCGTGCCCGCTGCCCCGACGGGGAGGGCCGGGGGTGCTCCCAAGCTGGGAAAACGAAGGGGGGAAAACCCAATTTTGTTTTTTTTGTGGGGGAATGGACGGCGTTCTCAAGTTGTCCTGTAGCGGCTGCGACTTGGCTTGAGCGAGCCCGGTTTGGCACGGCGGGGGTGGAGGGGAGGAAAAGCCCGTGCGAGGAGGAGGAGGAAGAAGAGGAGGAGGAGGAGGAGGGGGACCAAGTGTAGCGGAGGTGGGAAGGCCGGGGTAAGGCTGCTGAGGGGGTCCGGAGGCAGAGACCTCCGTCCAGACGCCAGTTTCGCACCTCTCTGTGTCCCAAAAATCGCATCGCTCCAGAGCGGGTTCAGCACCGGGATCTGCGCTCCGGGCACGGCCGAGGAGTTTCCCTTCAGGCAGCTTGTCTTGAACCTTCACCTAAAAGTTTTTTTTTGTTTGTTTGTTGAGTGTTTTTCTTTTTTCTTCTTTTTTTTTTTTTTTTTTTTTTTGTCTGTGTGTGTAAGTTTAGGAATTTTGGGTTTGATAGTTTTGTTTTTTACCTTTTGTTTTTTTTTTAATGTTAATTCTTTTAGTGCGCTTTTATTTTTGGTTTTGTTTGGGTTTTTTTTTGTTGTTTTTGTTTTTTTTTAAAGACTTCCTAATTCCAGAGGCTGGCATGCACGCTTCCTGCTACAGCAGCAGGCCAGGCATCTCTGTTTCTACAGGAGAGGGGGAATTTAAGGCGTTTGACAATTTCACACCTAACTTTGCCACGGGAAGGTGGAGGCAGCCCTGACGGGAAGCGTTAATTGCTGTGATGGAGCGGGAGACACAACTTGGGCTGTGAAATCTGATCAACTAGTGGCGCTCCTTAGTTCCAGCGGAGGGGTAATTTTAAAAATAATTGCCTAACCGGCTAGTGGAAGCACTGTTTATTTGTCTTAGCAAAAATTAGGGAATTAAACCATTTCCTCGTGCTACATGGTTGCTGGTGTTTGTCAATACCCTCGGTAAATCACTGAAGGGCACAGTGGGATCTCACAGTGGGACTGAAAACAAATCCATAGGGCTGCTGTGCCTCGGATCAAATGAAGATCGTGTTGTTTTAATTCTGCTTTGCAAAAGCTACCCAGTACAAGCCGCACACACTAGTGCTCTGGTCGTGGGGCTGAAACTTTAAACGTTTTTCAGTCGTGTCCTTTCATTGCAGCTGATTCTTCTTCGGGGATCTTGGTGCTGTAAAGCACACAATATCTCGTTTGGTCTGAAAATGCTTAATAATTTTCAGGGCAAGCTTGCCAAACTGACTTATTGCCAAGCAGCAACTGCCCTCCTAAGTAAAGTTGTGAGGACCTGCTAGATGGTGCTGTTCGATTTAAGTACACGTTGTCTCCCACTTCCAACTAACAGCTGGAAATGTGGGCTCCCCACGTGTAGATTATTTTAGGCAAAACACCGAAGTGGTTTGTTTTTAGATCGTGGACCTGACAGGTCAGAAACTTCACGGTCGCATATACTTAAAAGTGAACCCAGCTGGGAGTTAGAAACACCCTCTTTCTCCCCGCTCCCCCTTCCTTCAGTGAAGGGAAAAAAAATAAAAAAGAAACTTTGAGACTTGCTTTAGGATGTGGAATGCCATTATGTATACTCTACATTCCGGATTTTTTGGTGTTTCTTCTGTTGAAATTTCTTCTTTCTCATCAGGTTACATCCTTGCCATTTTCTTATGCTTTCTTTCTGACTTCCAAAAAGCTGTGATTGCATTTTATTTTTTCCTCTTAGGACATTGTTTTACAGCCATGCAATGCTTGTCCCAAGGTGTAATGCATGAGTTTTTGTACTGCTCAAAAAGAAGTGGCTGTCGAATTAAATCTTTTTACAAAAACACAGCTCTGACTTCTGTATGAGATTGTGTTAATTTGGAAACCACAGAGAAAAATACATATGTTTGACTGATACAATAAGTACTTACTTAATCAAGAAGAGTGGGATTATAATTATGTTTAATATAAAAGTTTTTAGAACAGAATATTCAACTGAACACTGGCGTGTCTCCTCAAGATTTCAAGTGCCTAAAATATGTAGCCAGTAGCCAATCTCCAAAATACACTTGTAGTAATTGAGGAATTTTTTTTTTTTTAAATTACATTCCCTCAGTTTTGAATGGCCTGATTATGTGGACCTCTTGCCCATGAGGATGTGTGCCAGTGAGAGGACCAGGGTGTGAAAAGCTTATTTACCAAGCGTGTAAAAGATGTGTGTTGTTCAGCTGCTGTTTGTGATATTTGTTGTGATACATTTTACAGAACAGCCCAGTGCCAAGTGTGTCTTCTAGCACCGTGTCTCGCTGCGTGCTGCATTCAGTATTTGTGTCCTCCGAGGTTATGTAATTACTATAAAAACGAACAAGTTTTGGCCAGCCATTTGTAATAGCCCTTGGCAAATTTTCAGTTCCAAGATGGCATTTGTTTTATGGCCCCTCTCTTTGTCCCTTCTGCTTGACCTCTGGGGTAAATTGCCCGTGTTATTTGGCTTCACAACGCATGTAGATGATTTTGGGGGCAACAACACCAAATTTGTGCACAGCTGGGTAAAACACAGAAGGTGAGGCGTGAGGAAGGTGAAGAGACAACAATCACAGGAATCTTTGTGCCCTTCCTCTCATCCTGGAACAGCTGTGCCTTAATTTCAGGCTGTGTCCATCCCAGTTGCTCAAGGGTGGAAAACTTGTGTTAAACAGTAGCTCTGCACCACACCGGTGCTGCACTGGCACCACCTCAGATATTGTCAAAGGAAAACAGACAAAAAGTATCCACACGTCCTCTACTGTTACATCTTCACAGCAATTGTGAACAATCTTTTTTTCCTTCCCCCTTATTCCTTAAAATAGGACTATTTCAGATTAGGAGCTTGGACCTGCCAACACTTCACCAAATCACCATTTGTAAACTTCTAATGTTTGAGAAGAAAAAAGGACCAGACCACACAAGTTCCTTTTACAAATGCAACTGTCTTCCATATCTTGGAATAATACTTTAAGTTGAAAATATGTATGGTGAAAAGCAATTCTAAAAAACATAAGGAAAACTAAATTCTGTGGGAATATATGTTTTAAGTTCAGTTTTCTTCATGTTCCAATGGTCTTCCAAACTAGTCTTCTTCCCAAGAAGCCCTTACTTAGTCTTCTTGAGATTTGGCAGACACTCAGATTTTGGTTAAAAACTAAGTAACTAGAGACTGCGACTTAATTTGTTATAAAAGGTTGCCTTATCAAAATATTGTTTCTCTTCAGGTCTGTTTTGAGAGGTTGGTTTTTTGCATGTACAGTTCCTTCGTGTGAGTGGAGTTCTTTGGGTTTCTTTTTTCATGTTTTTTTCCCCCCTCAGATTTGAAGAAATTGCATTGCATGAGTTTACATAGCTAAGTCACCTTTTTCCAGTGCAATGTTTGAGATACGTAAAAATAAAATTCAGATAGAAGTTAACTGGCTTAAGTGATGAATTTGCTACTCATCCCTGGGAAATGGCCAGCTAGTTTCTTAAGTTGCTGCTGGTAAAAGATACATTAATTTCCCACCCCCCCTTTCTTTTGAAGACAAATCTAGTAGTTTAATCCTGCCTGGTTTAGAAAGTTTGGGTTTAACATTTATCTATCAGGCCTAACTTGTAAGAGTTGCAGCTGTGCTGCCCAAGGAATCTGTGAACATCAGAATAATTTAGAAATATTTTAGAAGAATATACCTTTTAATAAACTGTATTAAAGAAGGGAGGGCTCTGCAAGCTGTAGCTATTTATCAGTGTTTATTACTGGCCATGTGCTTCAGGTTCTCCCTTACCCTGCACAGGTGTCTTGGGAACACATGAAAATGTTTCAGGTAATGTATGTGTTTAAATTCCAGGCACATGATTCTGTCACAAGTATTTAAGCAGCCAAGATTTTAGTAACTTTGCCAAACTTGCACTGTTTGGGTGGAAAAGTTACGATGCAATATTTAAGCTTTGTGCCGATTTATTTAACTTTTTTTAGTGCGTAAAAGCTCGGTTGCAATGTGGCCCGTTTTGAAAATTGGGCAAAGAACAATACGTGTTTTCCAATGTTTTAAAAGTTTTCTCAACTCTTACCGTGGAAGACCAATGATACCCCTCTCTTTCGATACACTTGAAATCTGGTTGAAAAAGAAAAGGATGAGGGATTTGATTCCAGAGATGTGTCTTTCTCCATTTGCATGACAAAGCATCTGAATTTAGCCAGGATACAAGCCTTTTCAAAAAGATGCATTTGCATATGCTTAGGGTTTACTGACTGTAATCGCTGAATATTTCATCTTTGCTGTGAGGCAGCAGATCCTGGGATCAGAGGGGAGGAAAATTGGGGCTGGGTGGGAAGGAAAGTGGAGATGTGAGCAGCTGGAGCCTGCAGCTGTGAGGTACCAGGACACAGGGATAACAGGGAGCACGGAGGAAACTGGGATGGAAATGGCCAGTCTGGAGAGGGGAGACAGAGAACTGGCCTTGGGACTGGGGGTCAGGGATCTGAGAGG